TTTATGGAATATCCGGTCATGGAAGAAGGGTTTGAATATAACAACTCCCATGTCGCATCTGTCACCACGACAGGGCTTGGTTCAACGTGTTTTTGCGAACACTTTTATAAATAGTTGTCTGTTAAACGGCTTTAAAATACGAAAACAAAAACAAAATCACAACTCCAGTAGATGTACAACACATCTAACGAACAGACCCATCACCATAAAGAGGAAAAATGACAAAAACAAAAACAAAAAAGCAACGAATCGACATTTAAACGCCAAACAAACAAACGGGTAAACGATATATAAGTATTTGAACAACAGTCGGCCGAGCCTGTGTTGTGGCGGCGGTTCGGCGGCGGGCGCAGGTAGGGGCGGCGGCGGGCAGTGAGAACAGACATCGGCTCGCATGGTAACGGGCGACACATGCCCAGGATGCCTAGGATAACCCACGTGCCGCATTCCTATGGCACTCTGGCCGCACCTGGAGCTGGATTTCTGACCTTGTGCTGTCTCTTTTATGATTGTTATGGTAGTTGTGGTTATCGTTATGGTAATAATGATTATGGTATTGGTGATGGTTATCATCGCCATCATCATCTTCATCATTAACATCATCATCATCATCGTCATCGTCTTCAATCATTATCATCATCATCAATCATCACCGACACCATCATTGTTGTTAATGTTATTATTATTATTATTGTTATCAATATCATTATCAGCATCATAGTCATGCTGATACTATTATTATTATATCATTATGAAAATGATAATAACTATAATTATCAATATTACTGTTGTTATTGTTATTGTCATTATTATTATCAACATCACATCGTCATCTTCAGCTTCATCTTCAGCTTCATTATCATCATCATCATTATCATTATTGTTGTTGTTCTCGTTATTATTGTTATTATTATTTTTTATTATTATTATTTCTATTATTATTATTATTATTATTGTTATTAGTATTATAATCATTAATATTATTATTATCATCATCATTATTCTCGTCTTTCTGATGTTGCTATCTATATTTAATCAATATTACTATCATTCATATATCATTATAAAAATCGCCATTTTCATGTCGCGCGATTTTCCCGCCCAAAACTTGTTCGAGCGCATGTCCTTTGTTTCTTGGCTCATACATATTTAATAATCTTTAATCCCTTTTCTAGATCCGCTACTTAGATCTAATTCCACTTCACCTGCCATTTGTAAAGCTGTCGATAACTTTATAATTCATACAACGACACAAATAGATCGAATGGTGCTATCGACAACAATAAAGTTAAAGAATTATAACCTTAATGTAAAAAATGCAATATCTAAAGTGGAAAGACGAAATAAAGAGTAAATAGATTCCCGCGATTGTTGCCAAGTATAAGTTATTGACTTTTATTTTTTTCTCACTTTTCCTTTCCCATTTCCTTTCTCCTTTTGGCGTTGTGTGTTCAGGCGACCAAAATTACTTAGATGAGTCAGTTCCGCCACTCCAGGCAAGTTTCATTTACTGGAAAATATTCTTTGTCTTAGCTGAGTGGTGTTGGTGCGGAGTGTTGCAGTTATTTTGGTGTTGTTGCTACCGCAATTATTAGCATTATCTCTCTTATTATACACATTTATTCCACTATTAATATTATCATTGTTAATGGTACTAATACAAAATTTAATGAATTTGTGAATCATCATTACTTTTTATTATCATAGTCATTGATAACCATTGGGTATATCATACTTTTACAGTATTAGTTATTATTGCTTATAGAATATATATATATAATATATATATATAATATATATAATATATGTATATATATATATTTATGTATATGTATATATATATATAATATATATATATATATATATATATATATATATATATCACGCGCGCGCGCGCATATATATATATATATATATATTATATATATTATATATATATATATATATATATGTATGTATGTATGTATGTGGTGTGTATATATGTGTGGTGTGTGTGTGTGTGTGTAAGCATCTTTAATCATATCTTTTCCATTGCCACATGCATACACAAGGAACAAAGGAACGAAAACGCAAAATATCAAAGCATCATGTCGGAAAACCGCTTTTTTTGCGCGTGTGACGTCACTGCAGATCAGTCACGTCAATCACCATTAACTCGGGATTTGTATTTTTATGCAGATATACTGTCTGTCTGTGTGTTTGCATGTTTGTCACTTCTGTTTGTATGTCTGTCTGCCTCTGTCTCTGTTTCTTTCTCTCTCTCTCTCTGTCTGTCTGTCTGTCTCTCTCTCTCTCTCTCTCTCTCTCTCTCTCTCTCTCTCTCTCTCTCTCTCTCTCTCTCTCTCTCTCTCTCTTCTCTCTCTCTCTCTCTCTCTCTCTCTGTCTCTCCTCTCTCTCTCTCTCTCTCTCTCTCTCTCTCTCTCTCTCTCTCTCTCTCTCTCTCTCTCTCTCTCTCTCTCTCTCTCTCCCTCTCTCTCTCTCTCTCTCTCTCTCTCTCCTC